ATAATAATAATGCTGCTGCTGCTGATGATGTGGTGATACCAATGACAATAATGATAAAATAATAATGATAATAACAATGATAATAATATTAAAAAGAATTATAACAATACTAACACTAACAATAAAGATTACAACAACAACAACAATACTGAAGATGATAATAATAATAATGATAATGATAATATAATAATAATGATAAAAAGAATAATGATAACAATGAGGATAATAACAATAACAACGACAGTGATAATGATAATGATATTAATGATAATACAATAATAACAATAATAGTAGCGACAACAACAATAATAACACTGGTAATAGTAATAATAATAATAATAATAATAATAGTAATAATAATAATAATAACAATAATAATAATGATAATAGTAGTGATAATGAAAATGATGGTAATAGCAATAAAAGGACAATAATGATAATAATGCAAATAATGATAACAAAAGAAACAAAATATAACAAAAATGATAATAAAGATAATAGTGATAATAACAACAATAATAATAGTCATAATAATGATGATAATAATAATTCCAATAATGACAATGATAATCATAATGATAGTAATAATAATGATAATAGTAATAAAAGTAATAATGATAATAATAACAATTATAACAATAATAATAATAATAATAGTAATAGTAATAACAATGTAAGAATAATGTCGATGATAACGAAAATGACAATGATATCAAAAGGAGGAAGAGGCAGGTGGGAGAACAAGGCAAAGAAGAAAGGGAGAAAGAAAGAAAGAAAGAAAATATTAGCAAAGAAAAGAAAACGAGCGAGTTCGGTTCCGTTTTCTGTTGGCTCAAGACCGGACTTTATTTCCTGTGGATCTTCGTCTACTGCAGACGCTGCCGTTGCTATGGGAACCAGTTGTTTACAAATATCACAGGCCGAGTGCTTGTGTGGCAGAGCGGAGATTGCATCTGAGTGTTATTGTGCTACTTTCTTGTATTTTTTGAAGGCGTGACTGAACTTTCCATTCTGCACCGAGAATACATGTGTAAGATATATAAAAGTTGATAGATATGGAAAGAGCGAAGTTATGTGTTTTTTGCCGTATTTCGTGACTGATATTTAACAGGAAATCTCAAAAGAAAAATCTTAACCCCATGATGGTAACAGATGTCGACAAGGTGGCAAACGTAACCTATTTGAACTAGACACGCGGTGAAAAAATAATCATTTCCTCATAATATCATATTAGTGACGCCATCATTCTATATACCAAGAAATAAATACACACATACTTATTCCTTTATAGAAGAGAAATTTCCCCCTCAGAAAAGGACTCTTTCTTAACACCTGGATGTTATCACTCACACATCCTTGGCTTCCGTCTTCACCCCATATCACGTGTAATCAAGAGATCAATATGTAGACACTGATCAATAGCCAGATTACCAGGTGCGGGGGACTTCTTTTGATCAATATGCAGAGAGGGTAGATTGTCACGGCATGTCTACTCAGCTCAGTCTTCCGGGAGCCACTCATGAAGCAGGTGATACAGTCGCCAGGTCCAAGTTCCGTTCATTCACAAGGGGATCTTTTTTTTTTTTACATTCTGATTGTTTAGTTGTTTGGATTTTAACACGTGATAAGGGTGTGAAGTCCAGTAGCATGATATTTTTTTCACGCGAAAAGAATATTGTTTGTGTTTTTTTTCTCCGTCATTAGTTAGAGAGTAAAACCAATTTGGTTTAGGAAATTAACACATTATACGAGTTTTGGAAATATCAACATCTGTTTTCTTCTTTTTAGGTTTCTGCATGTACTAGTATGTTAATTAATAAAGTGAGATGACGATGCTGACAGTGGTAAACCGAACCATGTGTCAAGGAAGATTTCCCTTGGAGGTCAGAGCTGGTGTCTAAATCTTAAAGAAAAATGGTTGATGAGAATGAACAGATACATCCAACTGAATTGACAAAGATTCAAACTGTCCATAACCTCTAGAAAATGAAGTAGCGATGAGTTTCCTGATAACGGAGATAGCAACGCGCGAAGCACAAGAAGCGCAGACGAGCCTTTAGACCTACCCCGCACGGCTTCCTTAGATACCATGACATAGATTCCCCGCGGATATCGGACAGGAACAGAAGACGTAACCCGCTCATTCCGGGTATCCGCAGCACCCGCATCCTCGCCACCATGCCACACACGCCAAGAAAAGCTCTCAAGGTTACCACAGAGATTGACGTCCATGCGGTAAGTTTAATTCGGATTTAATTCTCCTCTCTGGAGAAAATTGCTGCAGGAATGAGCTTCTGATCGTACATTCATCTTGCAGGAATTCCAAGCTGCATGCAATAGCGATATGAACACAGTATGACATGTCTTACCGAGCCAGGAAAATGAAGCTTGCTTTGTTGATCTGTGATTAGGCCTACACTGCCTGCATCTTCTGTAACGAGGGATTTTTTTCTTCTCCAGGAGAAGATACCTATAACCTGAGTTTGTGTTGGATACATGG